CATAAACTTCGCCTTGGCGCTAAGATTGCAAAAGGCTAAAGGTAAATTGTAATTTTGGTTACCGCGTGGCCCCCGTTTTTCGTAACTTGCATATACAACATACAACATAATATACAATACTGAAAAGAAAAGGGAAAAAAAGAAAAGAAAGAAAATCCGAATACGGTCGACCAGTATTGTGTCATCGTCAAGCTAGATAGAAGCTATACCCACGGTAGAGACCAAATTGCCGCGAAACTTTCCCATACAAAGAAAAAAAAGAAAGATTCGAGAAAAATGTTAAAGAATAGCCGGAGTAAACCGAAGTCCATTGCCACAAAGATATCTAATTAATTGAAAATAATAATATTAAATGTCCAGTCTCTCCACTAACACCGAACACGGAGCAACAGGCCGGTTCACCGGTCCATTTAATTCCCTTTTATTATTTAATTATTATTTTAATTATTTAATTATTTGAATAGAAAATGTTGTCTCTCTGGGGGTGGAACCGAACCTCTAGACAGAAAAAAAAAAGACCCCTGTTAGCCAAAGGAGCCTTGTGTATCCGCGGTACACAGCTATACAGGGGGCCAAAGGAACACAACCAGACCCAAGCAGTCGGTTCAGTACACCCAACAGCGCTGTTAGTCTGAGAACTATTTTTCCATTTTCTGAATTCGTTTTTTTTTTCCCTCTCTCATTTAAGACCGAGTTATATTCCAGCTTCTTTTCTTTTTCTAGAGTTCCGAGATCTATAAACCTTGCCCGGTACCCCAAAGGCATATTATACTTCCTTACTTTCTGTACTTCACCATTCGTCCATTGGCTCTCTTTGATATAGACCTCTTATATCCCCACTTCTACTAGCTGACCTGGTCTGAGCATCCTGATCCAAAGCTTGGTCTCTATAAATATCGTTTTCCAGTCCAAAAAACAACACATACGTACTGGCAACCAAAGATCAACCCATGATATCCCAAATGGCAACACACACCGAATCATACGCAACGCTGCCATCAGCACGTCAAAGCAAAATGAAAATCGACGCCTTACTGAACCCAGGCGATGAAGAAATCTCTCCACGCACCCAACATGCCTCAATTCCACCATCCCACCGCCACAGCTATCACCAACCCTCACCAAGCTTCCCCCCAAGCCCAAACTACTGGTACAACCGCAACTACCACGACACCAGCCCAGGCGCACTTTCCAGCACAACCACAGCAACAACCCAGAGTACCAGCACAAACGCAAGTCACCACGGCGTAAACCCCTCCCAATCATCCCACCAGATGTTCTTCACCTACCGCCCCTCAGGAACAAGCACCAGCACCAGCACCAGCACAAGCACACACCGCGCAAGCGCAAGCACAAACCACAGCTCGCTGTCCGCGCCATCCTCGCCGGACCCTTACCACCCCCGCGAGCGCTACTCAAGCGTCTCAAGCTCGTCTTCCACTAACGGCGACCGTCGTCGTCCTCCCCGTCCAAAGTACGAGGAGGAGGAAATGTACTTCATCTGGTACCACCGTGTCGATCTGTGTCAGGAGTGGAAGGAGGTCCGCGAGGCTTTCAATCGTCAGTTCCCGGACCGTCAGAGACGGGGGTTCCAGGGTATCCAGTGCAAGTTTTACCGCTTCATTAAGGAGAAGAAGTGTCCCACTCTGCGGGAGCAGAGGCGGATGCGGGATGGGGAATTCCTGAGGGAGGGGGCTTCGGCTGCTTTGGCTGGGGATCATGGGTCTGCGCCAAAGTTCGGAGTTAGGGAATATACTACTGTCTGGTATCCTTGGATGAGGAAGGAGGGGGATGTTGCGTCGCGACGGATGTGATTTCTTTGTTTTTGCTTTCTTTTCTTTGGGATTTCGTTTGGGAGGTCAATTTGTCTACTGTTTTTGTTTTTGCGTGGGTCGGTCTTTGTCTTTATTTAAGATACCTTCTGTTCAGCGTGGGAGGTCTCCTTGTCTTTTTGATGTTCTCTCATTTGCCCCCAAATCTTCCACCAGGGTTTCTGTCTTTTCTTTGTTTTCCTCTTGTCTTGACACCTTCACTTCTTCACTTCTTCACTTCCTACCCTTTTCAACCTTGGAAGTGTTTGTTTTCTTGGTATAATATCTACAATACGTCGTGTGGAGCAATCCATACCGTGAGAGTCAACATAATTCAGATTTAGATCTAGATATTACTATAAAAGAGAGTCGAGGTCGAATTTGAATCTGAATCTATTAACACCTTTTCTTTCCAAGGCTGTTAACTCGGTATGACGAATCACACATAATCTTTGCATATCCAAGACTACCCTATCTGCATTATTGTTGAACAGCATCCCGAGACAATAACCCTTGCTTTTTGTCCTTCCTCGAGTATGTATTCCAAATACCGAGCAACGCACATGGTCCTTCCTCACCTTAGTCAATATTCGGCACAGTTCCGGCCATGCCCAGCCCTTTCAGTCTAGGAAGGATAGCCGGAATAGCCGTTGAAATCGCCCCGTTGAGACTATACAAGCATATGATACAAGCATATGATACAATCATATGCTACTTACATATGCAGCACCGACCATCAACCACAGCCATTGTTCCCATACTCCGTAAACTCAAATAAAAAACAACAGTCTTCACATTATAGTACTCCGTACTCCGTACGCGTACAGCCTAGGCAGTACATCCGGCCGAATCGTGCTAAGAAAAGAACTTATCCACAGCCCGGCCAATCCCTCAGATCTGTCGATCGTAGGGTCCTAATCCTGTTTCGTCTTTATTCGTCTAAGTACTCCATATCCGTACAAAGTATGAAGATCGGGATCTTTGAATTATCTAGTGCAATCCTGGTATTTCTGCTGTATGTGCAAGACAGGGGGAATTCTTTTGATTTTTGCGACCTCTTCGTATTCTCTTTCCTCTTATCTATCTGCAATGTCCTGGGTTAATCACACAAGAATGCTGGAGCAAAGTACCTGTATGGATTAGTACTCCGTACCTCCGGGGCTATTGGCCATTAAAGTGATTCAAATCACTCTCTATTGGACATATTTCTGGAGATATACATAATGGCGTCAACCGGCGTCAACTACTTCCCACTAGGGCTTCCCAAGACCGCGGACATGGGCATGTTAGGGGTTTAGACTAAAAGATTGCATTGTTAGCTTATGGTTCATGGTTCATGGTACTTATGTACTGTAACTAGAGCTTGGGGGCCAATTTCTATGGTTTGATTCGGGCAATGGTCTGTTTTTGATCTATGGTGATTTGTTAGTTGATCAATATATACATACATCTAAGGGAAATATTGTACAATATACGGAGTATATACGTACTTATTAGTTAATAATCTACGTAGTGACAAGTCCGATAAAGACAAGGGAAATTGACATGTCGCGCTTCGGCGTTTGCTTTCTTTGCTTTTCTTTCTGTCTCCTTTTTGATGCTATCCACCTAATGTCCATCCTATTTTGGTGCCTAGCCACGGATTGTAAAATAGAGATCGTCCAAAACAAAAAGAAAACATGAATGGAAATGGGGCCAATCCTGCCAAGTCCTAGCGTGTCCGGGTTCAGGAATTCACCCGCGGACTCTATCGTGAGTTCTTTTCGTCTTCTATAGAAAGATAAATTCCGATCCGATGTCTCAGCCTCATTGTTTTTAGAGGCCATTGTTGGATCATTGTGTTATTTCGGGCTGTGGGGCTAGCGGAATAAGGGGGCCGATGTGTAAGTTGTGTGTGTTGAGTACGTTGAGTACGTTGTAATTGCATCCGTATGAAATGTAAAATATGTTAGTATGTTGTTTGTGACGAAGTAGAATCTATGAATTGCCGAGGCTTTGATATTTACAAGATACAACATAGGTATGGAGTAGTCTGTATATTGACATAGTCGGAGGTGATTCGTGGCTTTCCAGGGGAAAATTTAGGCGGAAATTTACTTTGGGGCCTCGGTATGTTTTGTATAATACGATCTACTTGTATCAAGGGAATTGTGAATTTATGGATATTTCCCATTCTATTGCAACATTTCAAGTCCATACTCGGTGTACGATAGAAGTAACATGAAGTGTAGAACAAGAGACTGGGCTCTGCAATATCGAAGTGGCACAGCCTATTGTGTCACCGTGCTGCGACACAGGAACCAATCTTGATTCCAAGACAACCCTGCACTCGAAAGTTGAACGGAGTAATACTGCATATGGGGCATGCATATGCTCCCAAGGCAGTACTGCAAAGTGGTGTATATTCCAAGGTTGTATATTGTATATTGTCCTAATATAACTACTCCGTACTACAATACCAATTCATCGGCCAAAAATAAAACCAAAATTTACGACTCTAAGCTATCCACCTCGGTTCAACATCCCCGGCACTACAGTTCGCACTAAATTCCCAAACTCCACAATAAGCTCCAATGGACACCATCCCTCTTCTGCGCTGTCGAATTTCATCAGCACTAATATGGAAAGAGCAAGAGGGGCACTGTAAATGCCGATATAGTTTGTGACAAAATTTAATTTAAATCAGCCAATTAGCTAAGGTCAATTATAATGTGGATGCTTCTCGCAATTGTGTTCTTTTACGTTCTTTTACGGGTATTTTGTCGAAACGGCATTGACGTTGTGCGAGGTGAGCGTGTAGGGATCTAGGTTGTACGGCTAAGGCTGGGTGTATGTCAGGCATTGTCCTGGTTGACCTGCATGTCTATGTCGGATTTCTCCTACGACTGTAGCAGCTGCTATATACCATACACAGGAGCCCCTATATCCTGTAGTGGCTCCTGTGTTCCTATAGTAGGGTTCTCAATTGAATGTTAACTTGCGTTTTATTGATTGGGATACGCTAGATAGAATCATGTCCTAATAAAAGGAAGAATCACTAACTGAAAACCCATCGCAAACAAATAGTAAGATCTGATTTCAGAGGTGCTCGCTTTTAGCTCCATATGTCCTTCACTGTGATCGAATCAAATAGCCATAATGGTTATCGGCGCCGCCGTGGCTGCTGATGGATATCAAGTACATATCCAACTAATCAACGGCGAGGATTCCAGAGAACATCAAGTTGGGCTCATCCATGAAGTGGAACCCCTGAGCAAGAGCGCATCTAGTCAAATAACTGGTCAGTAAATAAATTGTGTGGGGGAACTGTAAACCGGCAACATACGGGTCAACTTCAAAGCTGGCAATGCAGTCATACGCTCCCTCCTTAATGCTGTGCAAAAAGTCCCAACCATCGTGGAGGTCGTAGAAGAAGATTTGAACATCAACACCAGACTTGAAAAGACGAGTCAGTAGTGACTCAAAGCATAGAACTACTGGCATGCAGACTTACCTCGGCCTGCTTGATCAGGATACGCTCGAAGCTCTTGCTACCCCAGACAGGGTCCATGGCAATACCCAAGACATTTTCGTTGTCGCTAGTCTTGAAGCCAGCGGGAAGACCGGAGAGACAAATGACACGGGACGCACCCTCTTCGACACGGTTCAAAAGCTCGGCGTTGTCCGGCAGACCCTCCTCCGGCATGGCAATAGAAATAGTGAGATCTTCATCACCATCCTTCAATTTGATGCCATCGGAGTGGTTCTCATAGTACGTGGTGCAGTCATCTTGATTAACAAACTGCACAGCAACTTCACCATTCTCACCCCAAGCGCACTCGATGGCACCCCCATAAACAAGCTGCAAGATACAGGAGATACTTGCCCACTCAGGAAGATTTCCGAAAATGATTCGGCGAGGAGGTCCCGTAGGTACAGCCTTTGGGGCCATCTGCTTCTGCAGATGGAGCAAACGGACTTGCTTCATGAAATCAGCCGGGGCAGTAAGACCTCTGGGCTTCTTGGGAGAGCCAGTGGACTCCTTGTCTCCGGTGGACTCGGCTTTCTGGGATGCCTTAGAACTAGCAACGGAGTCGTTGTCTGCATCCTTGCTTTCGCCATTGGCTTTGACGGGAGTTGCCTTCTTGGATCCAGTAGTGGCCTTGCGAGGAGTACTCTTCAGAGGTGCATGAGCGACTTGATCCTTGAACCCAGCAGCCTCGGGGGCACCAGCAGGAACAAAGGGCTTGGCGCGGGGATCAATGCTGGAATGCTTCTTAGCGGTAGCGGGGGTACACAAAGTAGTCGCACGAGAATCAGCAGCTTTCTTGTCCTATGAAAGATCAGTGTGAGACAGAAGCAACAAAAAGATGAGTGTTATTCTTGAGAGTGATAGGAGTCAAAGGGGTCCATGAACAAAAACAAGATCAGAGAAGGGAAGCGAGTCAAATAAAGAAAAACATAACATGCAGTAGTGAAGGTCGAGGTTTGGATGGGAGTGTGGATTGGGGAAGGGTGCGACATACCTTTTCAGCCTTCATGGCCTTCTCAATGTCCTTCGAAGCATTGTGGAGCTTAGGAGTATCATCCACATCCAGCTGGGCGAAGCGACGAGAATTGAGGCGAGCCGAGACCGTCTGCACGCCAGCAATACGATCAGCGCGAGCTTTGTTGCGAACAGCTGCAGGAGCATGGACGCTCTCCTCCAGGCTTATCATGTTGCAGTTGGTGATCACGTCGTAAATCACCTCAGTGGTGATGCGAATATCAGACAGTCTCTGGAGATTGATGGGAGTAAGACCATCGGGTCCAATGACCTTGGGTTTCTCCATGATGCAACAGAAGAGTGATTAAGATGAGGGTGAAAAGAGGAAGAAGAGGAAGAAGAGGAAAACAAAACAATTTATTTAACAGGGACACGCGTAGACGTGTTTAGGATGGTTGTGTGTTTGACTTGGGAAGGCACGAAGGACCTCCTTCCTCTTGAGAACGCAGTCGCGGGAACAAGCATTCACCTTCGTGTCAATAATGTCTTCTCTACAGACATTTCTAATAGACATTGGTTAGAACTTCTACCTTGTTCATTTCACCACACCAAGTTTGAAGATATAGACAAGGAGAAGATCTCTAGAAGAACATATTGTTCTCAGGATATCTAACAAAGAAATATCCGGAACAAACAGCACTATGCTTGTGCTTTGGACAATATATTGTTCATCGGCTACTACGCAGAAACTGGACAAACACTACGTGATACCTTTGAGCATGGCCTTCTTTAGTCTTATTCTACTAATAACTCTTCCAAAGTAGCTTCGGTGTTTATACTAAAGTCTTCGGTAACCGGCATCTGCAATATAAAACCCTCTGGATGTGCTTTTTGAGTTGGCTTTGCTATGGGTTTAGCACCTAGCCTTCCTTGTTATATGTCAACCTCACGTCCATGTTCTTTTGCCTCACAAACCACGCATTAACAGTCTCCCATTCAGCACTAGGATCATCGAATTTAATCTGAAGTTCGTCAGAGTCAAATCCCAAATCTCGGGCTGAGGGCCATATTCTCACCTTGTATCTCAGAAATAACGACGGAATCAGCTTATAAATCTCAAGTAAACTGATATTCTTGCCAATGCAAGTCCTCGGCCCGGCCCCAAAAGTAAATGTCGCACGAAGCATCTTCTGCCTTCTGTCCTGGAAACTCATCTCAGACTCAGTACCCATTTTGAGCCACCGTTCCGGAACAAATGACTCCGCATTCTCCCCAAAGACGTGGCTCCGATGTATTATCCACGGATTGGCACCAACTATCGTCCCAGCTGGCAGAAATGGACCACTGCCAGGAAGCTGGAGTCCCTCGGCAGGCACGACCCGCTCCAGCATCAATCCTACGGCTGGGTGAAGACGTAGTGCTTCTTTAATCACTGCATCGAGGTAAGGGAGTTGCTCTTGGCTTTGCTTCCATGAGACGGGTAAAGAGATCCGACTTTCTTCCAAGGCGATGGTGAGCTCTTGGTGTAGTTTCATACTCGCTCGCGGGTCCTTGAGGGTGTAATAAAGTATTGCTCGGAGGGAAATCGCCGTTGTGTCGGAGCCAGCATTCATATTGCTGATCGTATATGAGAAGACTTGGTTGTCATTCACAATGTTCGGGTGCTCATTTTTCGCTTCCAAGAAACGATCGAGAAAATCTTTTTTCTTGTTGGCCACTGGTGATGTGCTTTTCTGGTTCTGGTTCAGTCGTTCGTCTAGTCTTGCGCGAGCAAAGCGAGCGACAGCTCCGGTCGAACCCCCTCCGAATAAGCTCTTGAGAGGGTTCTTGATGAAAAGGTAGTCAAGCCACGGCATCTGTCCAATCTAATACTCAATTCCATTAGTTTTTGAGTCAACTAGCTCATGTCCTGCAGTGCCAACCTTTCCGGAATAGTCGAGCATATGCTCCAATGCGACGATGATTCCGTCGATATCACCCCCTCTCTGGAGGAACCCAAGTGGCTTACTGAATGTCAATTCTCCGATGACATCAAAAGCATCTTTTGGGCTTTGTTAGTTTCTACTCTCATGTCTCACGGGAAGAACTAGACTACTTACAGTATTGTAGCCAAGCAGCAATATCGCAGACTTTTGCTTCAGCTACAAACTCATCCAACTTCCCAAATAAAGTATGGATAGTCTTATCCACAAAAGGCTCAAACTCGGTCAGAGTACTCATTGAGTAAGCTGATGAGACAGGCCTCTTAATAGCAGCATGGAAATTTTCATCGGTTGTGGTAAATAGCGTAGGCGTCGGTCTGCCTTTGGCAAGCTGCTGCTGAACACAATAGAAATTTGTCTTTCGAATGTTAGAAAGGTCAATCAGTTCTTTTAATCTGAACTCACTTTCTGATATCCCTTATTAATCCCATATATCGTTTTCAAGGCATCCAAATTCCGCACACTGACCACGTTGGGTCCTATTCGAACATAGTCCCCGTGTTTTTGGTGAAGGTTGTAAAGTGTCACTTCTGCGTGACCATTGGCGACATCGATAAACCTCCAAAGATTCGTAATCTTGGCCAGTAATGGTCCGGGGATTGATGCTACTCCTGGTTTGAGATAATTGCGCGTGAAGTGAAATAGAGCAAGGGTGACAAGGATTGCTGGTAGATGTGACCAGGCTGAGATCAATGCTTCTGAGATGACGGCCATGGTGAAGTCCTCAGGTATTCTCCCCAGGTGTGCTAGTATGCCTAATTGCTAGGCATAGTATTTATACCTCAGATCTAGGAAAATGCGGAGAAATGCGGGGAAATGGGAGAATTCCGCTCTTCTAGCGACCCGCGGAATGAGCCTCGCCTGGAGGGAAGGTATAGCCGTGGGAGAATGTGATTTATTAACGTAACTTACAGGGACACCTAGGTATTTATGTAGGTATATAGCTAGGTAGGACCGGAGGATGACTACTTGTCATAATGCTGGGCAGGTGCATAGTGGTTGTACAGGGTGGTCATGCGGTGGAACGCAAAAGCTCTCACTTTTGTCAACTACACAAGTCCTGAGATATAAACATTGGGCGACATATTATTCATTTATCTAATGCTCCTAAAGATCTCTCCAACAAAACTATCAATACACCAAAGACACCAAAGGATAAGGAAATATATATAACAAGAATGGGTAGAATGGGTATCTGATTCCAGAACATTAGAGCGTCGATGATGGGACAGGAATGCTCTCAAATCCTTTCTGCCCGGGCTTACGGTCTTCAACAATAACCTGAAGGCCACGACGACCACAATAGCCATCATTGCCCGCAACCCGATCAACGACTTTGAAAGAGCCACCACCATCATGTGCAGCATCCGGAACCCACACAGTCTCCTGCACGGTTTGGCCGGGGACTTCCGCGCGACGGGGATTGTGCCAAGGCAGACCGACGAGGTGATTTCCTAGGTTGTGAAGGAACGAGTAGAGTCCCTCAAAGCGGCGGGTGACTCCCAGCCAAGAGAGGGTGCGGTGGTCATAAGCAGTCCGCACGAATGGGTTCATGTAGATGCCTGTATCAGTGATCTCGTCGACGTTGGTTGGCCGGTCTTGGATGTCCGCGTGGATGAGACAACATTCAGACGCCTCCCAGAAAAGATCGTGCCCGGAGCGGAAACGTGCCGGGTTAGGGGTTGTAGGCGGCGAGCCTTTTTGGAAGTATTTGGCATCAAATGCCACCATTCCTCCCCAGCAGCTGCGCACTCGCACTGCGTCTTTTCCGGCCAGTACATCGCTTCGGCTCTCGCCTTTGCCGGATGTAGTGAACCATGGGTAGAAGGGGAGGCCCATGCTGTAACCTTCAAGATCACGGGTGGCATATGTGTCGTAGAATTTGATGGGGTTGTCGAAGTCTACAGCGCAGGCTGCACGATATTGGGCAACACCGTCTTCGTTGGCGTTTGTTGAGAATAAGAGCTGGGGGACCTCGGCAGGGTGGAAGAGGATATCGTTCAGATAGAGTAGCTTATCGAACTTCATCTCAGGATGGTCGATCAATGGCTGTAGTGCTCGGTTCCGAACCTGGGCTAGATATTCGATGCGCTTGATTCGCTTTGACCCACCGGGAATGGTCACAGTGGGTATACTCTTCGGGTCCAGGTGCTTTTCAGACACAATGGCTTTCTGGCACTGCACTTGCTTCTCTAATGCGCGCAATGCGCGCTCTCCCTCCTCACCGCTGTCATTCTCGTAGATACTCAGGAACACATTGTCAGGCCCAAGCAAATCAACCAACTCCAAAAGTTGTGTTCCCCATTGGCCCTGGGCAAGCTCGCCACCACTATCATAGAGACTTGCTGCGATAAAGACCTTCTCATGGCGGGGATTGCCTCGTCCAGGATATGAGCTCTCGAGTACTGATTTGCGGAGTGTAGAGTAATGCGCGGGCAGATGGGTATATGACGGGAAGAGGATCGAGGTGAAAAGCGCGAGGACAAAAACGATGCCGGCGACGACGGGGAGGTAGCAACAGCGGCGAATGCAGAAACGTCGAGAACAGCTCGGTCGTGGTGTGCCTGCGAGGGCCGGTCTGGAAGGGTTGTTCAGGCGGCGATAACCTGCTGACGCCGAAGAGAGGATTCGGGATAACCAGGGCAGTTGGCGTTTGCCAAATTTGGATGAAGAAGGGACTTGAGCTTCAAAGTCGGCCTCATCCAGGTTGAACGTCCCCTGCGAATCAACTGAGGACCGTGAGGCAAGCTCCCATTCATCGGGATGGAGTAGTCGTGCGGTCATGGTGGATCGTGTCACCAAATGGGTATACACCCTTGGGACTATCTTCAACTGCAAATTGATCCAATAAGGTGGCTCGTTGCAGCCATTATTGATGATAAGGAAAAAGCGACCTGTTTGGTGATTTCCGCCGGGCCCCATGGAGAACTTACATCATCAATATGATCACGTGGTATCAACAAGTCTATGATGGATGTACAACGTGGAGCTTAAATGTTTCTGGATTTCAATGTATATGATTGTAGATATGGAAATCAAACATTGAATTAAAGGGTTATGCCGAGACAGTCGTTATCCATTTCATCATCTGGGCAACTCCAGTAGAAAACAAATGTGCAAAATGATATTCCCATGGAAGTTCCGGTATGTAGTGACGTAGCTGTAGTCGGGGCACCCGTGGACTGCCAGTTCTGTTCGCGCCCAGATGAAATCATTTATCTTTCTGCTTACTCTCTGTATTCACTGACCTTGTACTTCTCGGTTTTCCACTTAAATCACCCATCTGTCTAAATATCTGCGGCGTGGTGACTGAACATACTTCATCTGTGGTTATACCACTGCTTCCCCGCATTCCACAGCCCACCATGTCGCAATCGCAATTCAAATTCGCCAACTCTGATGCCAAAGTCCCAGGCAAGGGTACTCCTCCTCCAGAGTTTACCATCAATGCACCAGCTTCCACAGATATATGGGCTAAGCCACCCTCCACCATCCGCTTCTCAGCCCCGATCTTGTACAAGTCTGTGCCGTTGAAGTCATTCAAGCGGACCCGCGTCGCCTTCAATGCCCTTTGGGAGAAGAACTATGATCAGGGCGGCGTGATCCTCGTCCTTAATACCGCCGATGGTGGCCAAAAGTGGGTGAAGAGCGGCATTGAACTCACCCACGGCAGACCCCACCTCAGTGTCGTTGCCAAAGACAACTGGGCGGACTGGAGCTTGCTTCCGGTGCCCTCGGGTGGTGGTGCAGCAACTCTTGAGCTGGTAAAGGAAAAGGACAACAGTCTGTGGATCTATCTTGTCGAGGGTTTGCAGAAGTCTCCTATCCGAGAGGTCACTTGGGTCTTTGAGGAGGAGAATGTGAAGGACTTCTGGGTTGGTGTCTATGCTGCCCGGCCATCAAGTGAGGGCGGTGAGTTGCCTGTCAATTTTGGTCATTTGATTATAGACCAGGAATAGATTAGTGGGATGTTGTTAGTTATATGCCCCAATAACGAGATAGCGATGGCCATTGCGAACAATGATGATATATGATGAATAGGATAATTGGAATGAAGTAAAGCAAGACTACTTTTGACAGTACTTTTGAATGGAGCCAGTAGAACATTCACGATCTATCCAAGTAAGAATAGAGATACCGGCTTGCTGCAGAAATACCACGGCTCCACAGAGTTCTAGGTCCACCTGTGCATATGCCAAATATGACTGACATGGCGCAGATCAGCCGATGTGCGTATAGGTTCCTGTCAATAAAATTGTTTTCTTCCCCGATTTATTGTTCGATCTTTGTCATGGCGGATGATCAGCCGTGCTGGCGGTTACTAGGTGCATCAACGGAGCGATTAATGTCAGTTTGAACAGACATCCACCTACGGAGTATAAGTACACTATACACGTTAGATAAAACAGTTGTGATTTTAGTGTACCAGGTGGGTTAACATCCGTGTCGGATATCTACATTTTACTCTTAGACCTCTACCTATACGTAGATTACATACAACTTACATCCACTTTGGATCCTCTTTCTGTTCATGTTCTCATTTTGATATTAATGCGACAGTATCTTATGTTTGTACACTGCGGAGTACCCCTGTTAGAGAGCATAAGTCTACACCTTCCTAATCGGTGTTATCTGATCCTACTATACCTAGTGCAGTGTAATCCCGACAATCGGGTGTATGCGCTGCACAAGCCCTATTTCGGATGCCGAGGTCACACCAGTCGCGTGTTAATATGACACAAGTGGAGAAAAGTAAATTAACTAGAGATTCCTTTCATAGCTTCCGTTCTTCCATTCCTTTTTTTGAATTTCCTTTCCACTTCAAAGTGTGCGTTAAATAATGTAGAAGGGGAAATGATCCATGAATATAGCCCCTGGTCAAGTGACCGGCTCCGTCATTCCGGCAGTGACATGATGGTTTCCCTAGATCGGAGTCAGTTGACAGGGTAGCAATGCATGTTGCTGCCAGATAGTGGAGACATTTCCAATATATTAAGTAGTTATGGAGGTTCCTGATAAAAATGGGAAAGAAATACCTTCCTTTACTCCGTATAAAAAAAATATATAGAAACCAATATCAAAAAGGAACATCAAACTTTTCATCTTATCTGATGGTGTGAACCAGGGAAGAAGTGACTTGGCAGTACCAAAGACTCAGCTCATGCCACCAAGTGAACAGATGTATCCCGGCCCCCTCCAATTGTAACATCAACGGGTTCCCGTACCCGAAACTCCACCTTTTTTTAATTTTCCTCTTTGACACATCTTTACCTTTTGGGAAAAATATACTGGGAAGCACCTAGGCATTTCAACATCCTAGAATGATGACTGGACTGCTACTGTGACACTGTTTCTTAAACTGTCTTGGTGCATTAACCTGGAATGCGAGAGATGAGCTGAGATCGGACCTCAGCCTCTCACCTCACGTCTCTGCCACCACAGACCCCATCAACGTGCATAAGTGCGACCGACGATCGGGCTTGGTGTGATTTTGCGCAGCAAGACCAAGGCTTGCAGGCCTAAAATCTTCAAGACCTGCTTCCCCTTACATTTGGGCGTCTCCCTCCGAAGCACGGCGGATCTACCCATCCGCCAATCTGCCCCATAGGTGTTTACCGGATCCTTCTTCTTACTTACAATAGCCCTTCATGGGTCGACCCCCGAGGCAAGCGCGCTTCCATAACTTTTTACATATCGCGCCCCATATTTATTTT